CTTGTCATCTTTTTTTGGTGAAAGCTTTGCAGCCTTTGTCGGGCTGTAGTATCCATTGTCCAAATTCCCAGTGAAATAACAAATTCTCTACCTCCCTAACAAAAAACCAAAAAAACAATTTTTATTTCAGGATACTACAATGAAATGGACGTGGGAAATCTTGGAAGTTGATTCCATTCCATGATACCCTATATCATACTCTAACATCGTCTGCAACCAAAAGTAACTATATTAAATTACAAATTGAAATCCACTTGTCTGGGAGATTGGAGAAACAAAAATGTAAAATCCCCATATCCATGATTATTATCTTCAAGCGATTACTATCTATATGCAATTACTACCAGTGTAATTGCACCCAAAAAAAAAAAAGCATAGGAAAGGGTAAGAACCAAGAACTGTAAAGTTCAAACATTTGCTACCAATTCGAAATTTTCTGGGTGATTGGTGAAACAAAATGAGAAAGTTTTAAATGCTTCTACCCATTAAATCAAAATTAAAAAATAAAAATAAAAAGAGGTAAGAATTTGTTTAGTCACCTGAACTTCGGAAAACCAGCGCTCGACAACTCCGAATCTTCGGTATTTATAGAGTAAAATGACATTCCAAGAATTTGCGTCGAAAAAAGAAGGAAGAGTGAATGAAAGGAGGGTTGTAGAATGCGTCGAAAAAAGAAGGAAGAGTGAAGGAAAGGAGGGTTGTGGAATGCGTCGAAAAAAGAAGGAAGAGTGAATGAAAGGAAGGTTGATCCACTTTGAAAATTCATGAGGACATCCCAAGATTTGCGTCGAAAAATAGAAGGAAGAGTGAATGAAAGGAGAGTTCATCTATATTGAAAATTCATGGCATCTGTGTGAGTGCTAGGGGCACTCGCCTTCTGCACTCTCCGGCCAACACTTTCACTTTTATTGGGTCACGTTATTCTGATCGGTAAGAGGTTGACCTCAAAGCCTGAAACAAGCTTACGTGGCCCAATGAAAGGGGAAGTGTTCGCCGGAGAGTGCAAGAGGCCAGTGCCCCTAGCACTGGTCTATTTTAATTAGCAACTCATCCTAATCTTCTCTACTGACAACAAATAGTGTTTTTCTGATAAAGCCGAATAATACATGGCTGATAATGCCAGAAAGAGCAGTGCTAGGGGCACTCGCCTCATGCACTCTCCGGACAACACTCCCTCTTTCATTGGGCCACGTAAGGTTGTTTAAGCTCTGAAGTGCAACTTCTTGCGAACTAAAATAACGTGGCCCAATGAAAGGAGGAGTGTTGGCCGGAGAGTGCAGGGGGCGAGTGCCCCTAGCACTGCTTATTAAAATATGAGTAATAATAAGAAAAAAGTTAAAATATTTTTAAAAATTAACTAAAAGTTATTTTACATGTTAAATTATATGCTGTTTATTTTAGAAAATTATTTAAATGTTTTTTTTTATAAAATAATATAAAAATAAATTTACATATAATTTATTTTGTAAAATAATTTTTTCATAAATCAATATATAAATAAAATTTATAATTATAATATTATATAAAATTATAAATTTTTAATTTTACATAATATTTAATAAAATATTATATAATATTAAATAAATAAATACATATATTAATATAAATAAATTTTTTAATAAAAAATAAATTATATAATAATATATCATATTATATATCTATAATATCATCCAACATTATCACTACAACATCTTCGTAAAATTTATAAATTTATTAGAAATTATCAATCCTTATCATTAATGGCGCTTCTAAGGTGGATTAAATGGAATTGGTCTTTATCCTTTCATCAGCACCATCACTGACTCTCCGCGGTTGCTCTCATGTTGGATTTACTCATACATTCAAGATTCTGCATTTAAAGAGCTTCTCACAGAAATCTTTCTTAAATTTGTCAGTTTGATTTAGAACACAAAAATGGAAATCCGTTGATGGTTGTCTTTTGATTGATGTTACTAAGTCTCCTGCCTCGATTCAATTTAGCCAGTTGAGTTTGTTTTCAACTTTTAATCATTTTTTGGGCCAATACAAATACAAATTCTGTATTTCTCGCATATTACCCCGTCTCCCAAATTAAATTGCCTCCATCATCGCTGCTACAGAGGCAAGAGGACCTGTCCTCGATTGCCAAGCATTGCCTCAATGATGGCAATGCAGTAGCTATATGAGAGACTGACTAAAGAATGGGCTCCGAAACAGCAACCGAAAGGCGTAACTTTCCTAATCTGGTGCTTTAGTAAAGTTTTGCGATTGCTATGAGTTGATGGATACCAAGTAATAAAATGAAAATAATTTTGTATCAAGATTTGAGATTAATTGAAATTGATAAATTATTTAAGAAGAGCAGTAGCAATTTCAATTTGGAAGCAAAGGATGCATGCCAAGTAGATATTGAATGATAAGTTGACGTTCACGTTCCAACTATTCATTTCAACAAAATATAAGGCATAATTTCCCCTGTTGATGTCTTTCACAATTGAATTTATACTTCAAATATTCACAGACATTATATACTTATTTTTCTTGGAATTTCAGTGATATTATAGCATTGGCATGCTCTGCAGTCCACCACTTATTCAAACAACATACTCTGCATTTTTCTGTTCGGAAGTTGTCAGGCTTGAATGTTAATTAAACTTTCAAAATTTTATGATTCATGAATGCTTACTGTTGGTGTAGTCATGATAGAAAAGTAAATCAATACATTTTTCTAATTCCTCTTATTGATTAACATGCATCTTTCTAATTCCTCTCTTTCTTGCGGGGTGCTTCCATGTGGAATGGAAAGCAGGATTCTTTTTATCAAAGCTAGAGATGGCAACACAACAAAAACATCAGTAGGATGTTTGACTTATAAAATTCAATCATAGGTACTGCATTTTGGTGGTCATTTCACAAATAATTAGCATCTTAAAAATCAATATATGTATATATATATGTGTGAATATCAACTTTTTAATGCAACTGTTGATTTTTAAAATTATTAATTAAAAAATAAAATTTTAAACATATTTTTTAAAAAAATTGTAAATTTGACTTATAAAACACTTTTTTTCATATATATATATATATGTATGCACTGGTACTGACTAACGTTAGTGCCTTCTTCCCCTATTTTTTTTAAAATTTATTTGATTAGCTAAGATATTTTGTTGACTGTGGACTAATTTTTTTCTGGTTGCTATTGATTTGAAATCAGTTGAAAAGTTTCTATCTGACGTCCTCGTTAGCAGAGAAAGAGCTGAAGGTCATGGAGGAGATGGAACAGAAGAGGTGCTGCCGGATTTGGTTGGGAACAGCAGGTTGTCGTCGGAGGTGCTGCAATTTCTCTCAGAAGAGCTCAGATCAATCTAAGAGCTAAAGTTAGGAGCGCTTTTTCTCTTTTTGTTTATCTTTTAACAATTTATTTGATTCCTATGATATTTTTGTTGGCTGTGATTTATTTATTTCTCTTGGTTAGCAGTGATCACAACAACATGACCACTAAGATTGTATCTAATGTTGAACCTTCTGAAGTTAGGTAAACAGAAGTCAAATAGTTTCAAGTCCATGTATAATATCTTTAACCAAAAAACTCAATTTACTTCAGAGCAGGATAGCTGAAGGTCTTTTGCAAGAACACAGGAAAGATTGAAGCGATGGACCTATACGGTAAATCATCACAGCTGCCATCAAGACCTCATTAAGGTGAGCATTAACAATTCAACGTAATTCTTTAAATTATCTGGTAAAAAAATTATGGTGACAAGTTACTGATACTAACCAATAATAACCTGAAGCCATATACAGAGAGTGCCTTCAATTCGGACAGTGTTAATGGCTTCTGAAATGA